GGTTATATTCTGTTCCTTAATTTGGTACTGCCAATGGAAATGTTCATTTTATTTTTCTTTAAACAACATAGATAAATTTATAGACTCTTTAGTATGTGTGAAGTGATTCTCAAAAGAGTTTAAATACAATTTTCCTAACTTGTTTCAGGATGTAAAACATTTTCAGAAATTGAGTTATCATAGAATATAAATGTTTAAAAAATCCTATTTGGAATAGGAAGTCTATATTTTAGTGTGAAGTTTAAAATAAGCAGTCCATTCTCTTTATTATTAGTTTGGTAGATATTCTTTATCCTTAAACTACTTTCAGAATATTTTAGAATGGAAAAGGTGGATTAAGTTAAATGGATATATATATAAGCCGTGTCATACCATTATTTTGTCACAAGAGGGACTACATAGTCAGAAAGTACAATTTTCTCTTTTGGTCAAGAATATTCCTCTATCTTAACATTTACATTTTACACACTGTGTATTTTTGTCAGTGTATATGTTATAAGGTGTAGTGCTGCTATATATATTTCATATCAGCAAAAATTTTAAGATAAATACTAGTTTGCCCTTTTAATTCTGAATGGAGAAGAGACTATACAGGATTTAACTTACTGAGCTATGGTCATTTTATTTTATTTTGGTTTATCTGCTTTATGGTAATAATAATTTTCATTTTTCTATTAGTGCTAAACACTTTAAATACTGAATGGATTTTTCATATCTATTTGTTTTATTTTTCTTATTTGATTTTAAGATACCTGTGAGCATTTGCAACCAATCCAAATTTGATAAAATGAATCAAAGTAATTATAGATCTGTTGCTAAAACAAAAGCATTCTTGAGCTAGGTCTCTACCCACTGGGCCAGGGGTTTTCAAACTCTGCTATAAGGATCCTTAAATGTTCCTGGAAACTCTTTCAGGGGCCACATATTTGGGAAGGTGGGGTACCCTTTTACTGAGATAATTCTTCACTTAACTTTTTAGATATTGCTCTCTTTTGTAAAGATTTTATTCATAGAAATAGTAAGCTACAAATAGTTTGAAAACCACTAAACTAGACAGGAAAGAATTGTAAAATCAATTGAAATGTATAAAATGTTTTCAGATGTGTTACTTCATTAGCTTGTCTCAAGTAAAATGTGAGCTCTAATAGCTAATAGTTGGCTTCTTCACCACTGTGTCTCCAGGGCAGAGGGCAAATAACGTGTGATTCTGCATAAAACAATTAAAATAATAAACAAATGTGTTAAAGGAATAAAACAGCTCCAGAAGACAGGCAGAGCAGGCAGGCATTATCGGAATTTTATCAAAAAGGAAAGAGAAGGTCAGAATGATAAAACACTTACAAACACCCTCAGTAAGTAGAAGAATCATATAGGATCCTAGTCTACCATCTCCTGGCTCCTAATACTTTTTGGGTCAAATCTGGGAAAAGAAGGGAAGGAAAGAAAAGGGAGCAAAGGAAGAAGGAAGGAAAAAAAGAGTTCATTTTCTTTCCACCATACCACAACCGCCTCTCATTTACTTAAGCAGGGAAAGATCAACTGTAGTCAAGAAAGAAAAATGCTATTTTCATTTGTTTTACCTTCATTTTGAAAAAACACATTGGTAGTATGGACCAATAAGTGTTATGTTCAAAGTTATGATCAGGAGACCATCATATTTCTCTTTAAAAAAGTAAAAAGAGTATTTTTCATGGCACCACTCATTGTACAGGAGTGTGGGAGGCTCTTCCTTCCAGGTGCCATCGCCTTCTCCGCAGACCAGCGACCATCTGCAAGGGGCTGGTTTCTCACTTCTTCTTTCTGTCTGGGCTTCCGCTCAGCACTCCCCCCATCACGAGACCGCTTGCCTCTTAGCCTCTCCTGGAGTTATGATGGTGATAGTCGGTGAAGAAATTTAAGGGTTAAAGGAATAAAAATCACATCAGTTTATTTATTTACTTATTTTTATATATTAATCACATTACACTTAGCACCAACCCTAAATCATACAGACATAGGTATTCGTTTTTTATTGATGTGGTATTAAATTGCCACAAAACTCTGGACTTAAAGTGGCACAAATTTATCATCTTACAATTGTGTAGATCTGAAGTCCAGTATATCCTCACCAGTCACTGTATATCATTCTAGGAAAATGTTTTGAGCCTTCTTTTCAATGAGGCGCAGCGCCGAAATTTGGCCCCTGGAGTCCCTGCGTGCAGCTCTGCTTCCCCGTCTGCATGGCCGCCAGCAGCATGCAGAGGACGCCCAGAGGTCACAGCAGGCTGTGCTCCTTCTTGGACACGCAGGGGAATTTATTTCCTAATCATTCAGGTCATGGGCAGAATTCAATGCATTTTAGTTACAGGCCTGAAGTCCCTGTTTTCTTGCAAGAACTTGTAGAGGCCACAGCGTTCCTAGATTCCGGGGACTGTCCTCTATCTTCCAGGGCAGCAATGGTGGGCTAAGTCCTCGGATTACAGTTCTCCCCCACTCTTTTTCAGTAATTTTCCACTTTTAAGGACTCGCGTGAATAGATTGGGCCCACCCGCATAATCCAGGATAATCTTTTTATCTCGAGGTCGTTATTAATCCTACCTACAATGTCCCTTTTGCTGTGAAAACTGACATATTTAAAGAGTCTTCAGATTACGATGTGAACATCCCTTGAGGCGGGCATTATTCTGACAGCCACAAAGAAAGTAAATGATTAAGAGTCTATAAATTTACTTACTTAAGTAAAAATAAGAAAAATATAAGGACATTTTTCTTTTTCTTAGTAATCATTTATAATTACATCAGAATACCTGAAGTACAACTGAAACGCATATCCTCTTGTAACTCTTGACCATTAATTGTATGCTAATTTACAGATAAAATGTTTCCCATTAAACTATGCTATTTTCATTTATTGAAAAGTAAATAGTTAATTTAATGTCAAGAAATACAGAAGTGTAATAAATAGGCACCATTTAAGAGGATGTGTCTTTCAGAAATCTGAAAAATGGAGGCAGAGGCATGGCTAAGCACTAATTTTTTTCCTAGATTCTCCCCTAACCCCCACCTCACTGCCCCACCCCCAGGCCAATCAAACTATAGCAGACAGTTATATAAGATCATACATACAATGTTATCTGAATTGACTAGCAAAGCTAAAGTCCAACTTAAAACGGAAGAGGCATGTGAAGCAGCAGAAAAGAAGGCTGAATGAAGTTAAAAACAAACAGATAAATCCCCCACATAACAATGCCCTATTCCTGTAATAATACATTTGAAGGTAAAGTCCATATAGTGTTCAGGCCTATTTTTATCACTGTTGTATACACAGCACTAAGCACAATGCCTAACATATAGAAAGTATTAAGTAAATATCAATTACCTTCAAATTAATTGTTTTAATTGGAAGTAAGCAATATTTATAGAATTTTCTATGTGCAAAATACAGTCATAAAATCCCTCATTTTTTCATTGTTCTCTATAATTTTCAGAGCTTTGTAAATAAATTATTCACCTAATAGTGATATGTGGAACATTGATAAGACTTGGTAGTTAGTAAACACTTGGCATAAAAAAAAAAATGACTTTTTCCTCTACTATTTGCATTAAATCATTACCAATCTGACAGTACTTCATTAATATGTTTTTTAAAGTAAAGACTTATTTCTGACTTATTGATCCTAAGACAGCCACCACAAAGAGCCCTTTACATAGGTATACAGTAAATGATAATGGAGAAAATATCATAGGTATTGTGCTTTTCATTCATTTTAATGTTTAAGTTGCATGGTGTATCTTGACAATATAATGCCAGTAATTAGAACTAAAGAAGCTGTTGAACATGTTCTGAAACAAATCTTGTTTAACTCTTTAAGCTATTGAAAATGGATTAAGTTGTCTTGTGAGGTAATTAGCCACATATCACCAATATTTTTCAAGTTTGATATAGGTCAAAAAAATTGAAGCAGAATTCTGACATTTGGTGGGAGAATCAATTTTAAGACTCCTTCCCATTCCAAAAGTTTTTGGCTGCTGGCAATGTTCTGTTTCTTGATCTGGGCACTCATCTGCATATGTCTAATATCGTTCATTTATAACATGTCATCTTTTTGACATGTCCACTATGTCAATAAAAATATCTAACAAATCTATGGCAATTACCTTTAACTGTGAGACTTATGTATGTACAAAGGCTTCTTAGCTTCTTATACCTATCTCTATCTTCATTAAGTAAATACAAAACAACTCTGAACTCCAAGCCAGTGAACATTATTCACTCAAAGTTCTAAGACCTTTCCTGTAAAAATTGATTCGATAGCACTAAGTGATGGCAATGACAAATCAACCTAAAATGTTTCTTCTTTTTAATGAAAAAATTTATAGAACAAACTGTAAGGCCTCCTGTAGGAGTTTTTAAACTTCATTTTTAATGATAAAGTGTTTTTCCCTGTACAATATTTGACACAGAGAATATATGACAAACACAGACCATCACATATAAAGCTTCTCTAGGTAAAATCTGAGTAAAGACATGAGAGACACACATATTCCTCATTCAGTCTTGGCATCAACAGCCTTTCTGCTCCTACCACCATCCTTTCCCAGAAGAACCATTCTGAGGCAGAGGTTGGGGAAAACCAGTGACCTAGTGCAACCTTCCTCTATTAACAGAAAATGCACCAAAATCTGGAAAGGGAAAGTGTCTACCCAAATTAAACACTTAACAAATCGGTATGCTGATAAAACCTAGCTTTTCATCTGGGCCTTTTGATTTTGAATAACTTATTTAATTTCTCTAAGCCTCAGTTTCTTCCGATGTAAAAAGGAGGGGGTTATACCATCTTCCACAGATGTAGAAAGGATAAGAGATAATGTCTGGTACAGAGTGGGTGTTGATGATTGGTAACTATCATCGTTATTCCAGTTCTCAAAGAAAGTCCCCAGATCTGCATAAAATAAAAAAGCAAAAGTAACTATTGGTAACTTGGACTTTAGCTTAAAATGTTTTCCTTGGTTTCTTTCAGGAAAGTAGTAGATCATCCAAAAAGGCGATTTGGTATCCCTATGGATCGGATTGGTGGAAACCGGCTTTCAAATTCCAGAGGCTAATTGATTCCATTTGTGAGTACAATTTGAATACATAGCAATACATGTAAGCTTTTGATAAATATTTCACAATAGGCTAATTGATCCATCTTAGATTATAAATCCCCCTTTTGCTTTCTTAGCTTATAAATTCACATTTTCAAACATTTCTGTACTCAATTAGTATATTGATGCTAAATAATTTAAATGACATTAAAGATCAAAGTGTGTCCTACATCTACTTCACCCTAAAAAATGGTTTAGGTGTTGTCACAGGCTCCTGTGTAATTACTGAATATTAACATGCAAACAAAGGTTCAGGTTCTAATTAGCATAATAAATTACCTTCACAAATATACATAATATGTAGTAAGCCCTCTGTTATGAAAAAGACACATTCCAGTGACACAGACCATTTTATTGCAAATAGCATTAGCAGAATTATGATAACATGGAACCCAGGAAAGAGAATGGTATAGCAGAAAGAGTATTAGCCATGGAATCAGAGCAGATAATCCAAATCCTGGTTCTATCATTTATTAACTTATTTCCATTGAGATACTTTATTTCTCTATAGCTTGTAGATTTAGATAATAACACAGTGGTGCTATGAAAATTAAATGAGATGTTAGAAGGTATTGGACACACAATACATGCATGTGATAACAGCTTAGAACACAGTTCTGAAAATTTACTCTGCTGGGCCCTATACTTAGTGTAAAACATGCATTGCTTCATTTAAACATCCTGTTCCATAAGTAGGACCTATTACTATCTCCAAGATCTTGAGAAGTAGTAGAGAAAAAGGGGTAAAAGTGCCTGCAAGGGAAGTCAGGCTTTGTAGGTCAAATCCTAGCTCACCTAAGTCCCAGGTCATTGGTTAGCTGTGAGACCTTGTTTAAATTCTGCAATCCTCCTCCATAAAATGAGAATTATAATAATTTCTTCTACATTGCATTGTCCTGATGACTAAACGAATTGATATACATTAACCACTTAGAATAGTGCTTGACATGTATTAAGTACTCAATAATCATTAGTTATTATTATCATACTAATAAGTGGAAAGCCACACAGCTAGTAAGTGATGCAAGTAGATTCAAATCCAGAAAGCTTAAATCCTGAGCTTTATCTTAATATATTTAATCATACGTAGTATATATTTTAAATACTAACTGTTTGTTAAATATAAAATCTTGGCTATGTATTTTCTCCCACTAGAGCTTAGAGAGGGTGTATCTTTCCTCCCAAACAGATAAGACAACCTAGAACTACTCTGATAGCTTCGAGACACAGAAGAGAAAACTCTGCTTTTTGCTTTTCTTAAGATAATCCTCAGGTCTATGATGCAGAGGCCCAAGAAGCATCACATTAATGCTGGCACTCTCCTAATTTAAATCATGCAATTTTCCATCCTTATCAAATGCTCTAAATCACAATTAAGTCAGTATTTTACCTCAACTTTCTTATTTTCAGAATGACTTAGTTAAAAAATTTATTTTTCTCCGTGGGGTCATTGATCAATGAAATTATAAAGTTATTGTGTGTTTTTATAAATACAAGAGGACTAACTGGATACTGCCAGAAACACTGCCTTTGGGGCAGCACCATCTTCAAATTTCATATTGAATATAGAACTGCCATCTGACCCAGCGATCCCACTTCTAGGAATATATCCTAAGAAACCTGAAACACCAATCAGAAAGAATTTATGCACCCCTACATTCATAGCACAATTTTCAATAGCTAAGATCATATTGAATTTTGTATCTAACAATATAGCAAGCATGGTAATTTGCTAGATACAAAGGGTTATTAAAAAATCATCACATTATATTTGAGTAGGAACTAACTGCTATTAAAAATCAAGTAACTCCTTGAAATCAGAGTCATAATCCTTCAGTTTCTTGGTGTACTGAGAATGTTATGACACTAAGATTAAAATAATTAAATTTGATGGATTTCCACAGGTACCCTATCCCCTTAGCTTCCCTTGACCATTACCCATTTTAGTATTTCTGAATTCAACCAAAACAAGTTATGATAAGAAAAAGTCATACAGGAAAACTAATTTTTTACATAAATTTTCATATGACGTTTTAGACCATAAAAACTCCAGATAGCTACCACACTATAAAAAGGTACTTGAATTAATATATTTACAGAATCACTGTTGAGTAAAATTCAAATTAGTATATTACGTCCTTCACTTAACAGACTTTGTTGAGTGTCTTGACAACCACTGTCCTTATTATTAAAATCTTCAGATAATAATATCATGAAAAAATAAGTTTAGAAAAGAGTTGAACATTACACATTTTCTCTTACCCCTTTGTCAGAATCCTTGTGGGTTCACCTGCTCAACCATTATGTTTCTATTCTCTGTTTCCTGCCACTCTCACCAAGAGTGACTTCCTCATGTGAAGTTTCGTGCTTTATAGTTCATGAATAATAAAAGACATAACATATATATTTCTAATTTCCATTCAACTTTTCAAAATTATGTTTTGGTATATTACTTTTTTTTGTCATAATGGTGCTTTGGATTAAATAGAAGATGTAATATTAATAGATAACTTAGGAGTCATTACAATTATTTCTATGACTTAGTCATGAAGTTAAGTCATTAGAAATTCAAGAACATAAAGTCTCATTTAATCCAATCTTTTTTTCCTTTTCTTTTCTTTTCCTTTTCTTTTTTTTTTTTTTTAACAAATAAGAACACAGGGACTGTGAGACAAAATTGATTTGTCTGAAATTTTACAGACTCCCTGAGAGAGCAAGATCCAGAACCAGTCTCTGGTCTTCCAGGCCAATCTCCTTATGACCGATAAGGTCTTGTAGATACTAAATTGTCATTGCTATGCTAACATCACTGATTATATGTTTCTAAAACAAACAGAAACAGTATCTCAGACTTTATAAAAACATTCTCTTCACTTCCGTGGGAGAAGTTGTATACCCTTTTAGAGCAGGTTTATTTGTGGGTTTTCACCTGCATTTCACTATAAGTATTCACACTGAAAGTGAAACTAGTGCTAATCATGGAAGTTTTGCTTGGTTTAAGGTCAAGTCTAGAAACAGCTGATGTGTGTTATCTAGTTTTCAGAAAGAAAAAATGCTAATCTCTTCCCTGATATGTGTTTTGGAAAGGGCAATAATAATCTGATATTTACACAATATTCTCCTCAAATCATTAATCTATTGGATGAAATATTTGAATTTTTAATAGGCCTCAGTTCTAAGCAACTCAAATTCAGAGAGACATTTTGTCTAGATTTTGTAGATTCTGTAGATGCAAGTAGCAAGTTCTAGGTCTCTGTCATTGAAATCAGGATGCCTACTTGATGAAATCTAGTAGAAATATGACCATTAATGGTGCTCCCCTTTGCTGCCACATGTATTAAGACTTTTAATAATGGGAGGCACATGGTACTGTGTTATACTGGCAATTTTTATTTTAGAACAATATTGACATGACATCATTTGAATAAATTAACATAACTCTAACAGAAATATCACATTTAAATGCTACGATATGATTGGATCCTTTAAACAGAGCAAATGTACAACAAATATCAAAGTGTTCTTCTCATAACAACAAACAGAAAGTAGTAGTCAGATTTTCTTATTTTTCTTTTATGTGTCCTGGCAACATCCTTTGAACAAATATTAAAATCTCAGAATAGATTAGAGCAGTTACACAAACAAAGGAAGTGTGGCTTGAGCACAAGTACCTAGTATATACATTAAAAACGCTCTTTTGAATTCATTTAATCAGAAATTATCATTTTGCATGTTGTTTTTGCAACAAAAATATGCCACATAAAAACCATAATGAAACATCAAGTAATTAGAGTTTTAGCTTTTCTCAACTGCAGTTGGTGGATTTCCCCTTATCTACAGAACTTTAACCATTTCAACTTTCATTTTTGCAGATGTGACTTCCTTGGGTGAAATGTCACAGAAACATAGAAGATGCTTCAGAAGTTCTTCACACTCCTTAATGATTAAACTTTTAAGGAACTGGCCTTCTGCAAACTCTTTCCAAAGCTTGAACTTAGGTCCATCACATCGCAGTATTGTTACAGCTTCAAGTAAATTATGCAGATCATTTCAATGCATGGATATTTTTTAAATATGCATTTTAGTTTTGCAGGAATGGTTACTTGGCCCCAAACCTGACTTATCTAAGAAACCATCAAAAAACACAATACAGTGAAATACTATCTATATACATTTACCATTTGCATTTATGCAGTTAAAGAATAACTGAAGACTAATTTGTTTCTGTAAAGTTTAGGTGCAATCTGTTCATTATTGGGGAACATAAAAATGCTGTGTGTTTTTTCTCAAATGCTTTCACTTCTTTCTTATCTTTGGTCTGTGGGCCTCTTGGGTAATAATTATGAAATTAGACTTCTCATATTATATTCAAATTTTAGTTATTTTCAATCAAATAAAACTCAGCTCCAGTTCTAGAAATAAGTGAAAAAAAATTCTCTGAGCAAAGAAAAAATAGCAGTAAATAAGCCCATAAAGTTAAGTCTCCCAAAGTACTGCAGGTGAGAGCATATTGACTTGGAGTTAGGCAGTAAAGGAGATTACTCATTTGCCAAGCTTGGATATCTTGTGTCCCCTAATAACTTCCATTTCTCTCAGTTACAACTGATAGTTAATTAAGAGCAGCAGTGGCTGATTATAAGGAGAATTACACACAGAAGTAGCAGATGTAAGTATGGGAAAGTCAAAGAATATTTAGTACACTACAGGAACAGTCTGGGGCTGGATAAATACACAGAATTTTAGCACAGTAAGTGATCGCTGTTTTTTAAAATATGTTTTTACTGATTTTTAGAGAGAGAGGAAAGGAGAGGAATAGAGAGAGAGAAACATCAATGAGAGAGAAACATCATTGATCGGCTGCCTCCTGCACACCTCCCCCCTGCTGGGGATCGAGCCCACAACCAAGGCATGTGCCCTGACCAGGAATCGAACTGTAGCCCTTTGGTTCCTGGGTTGACGGTCAACCACTGGGCCACTTCGCTGGGCAATAGTGATTTTTGATGTCTCTGGCTCATCTAACAAACTGTTTAATCCGTTTCATATACTGTGTTTAGTAAGGCATTGAAGAGTATGATGTGTTTGAGAGTGATTTCTTTAAAGTGGTCCAAATTGTTTCTAATCGATCTATCAAAGCATAAAGTTTGACACTCTGGAAAGCCTGATTCTCAGCAATAGCTGTGATGTTACTGTAATTTAAGCATTGCGCATTGGATATGCTTTCAAAACACAAAGATAACTTATTCATGGACCAGAGACTTAGCATAAGTTAGAAGTTTATAAATTCTCTGGAAAACACTTCTTTCAATCCTGGTGATCACTGCCAAACAGACCTGATATGGGGAAGGAAAAAAGTCTGGCCAGGAGAACAGAGTTTTATTTTTAGCATAAAATGGAGTGTTATGAGAAGGTATATTCATATTGAAAGAAGAGGAGAGAAATGGGTAGTTGTTAATCTTAACTAAAAATGAATACAATCCACGGAATAAAATAAACTCAGAGAAATAGAAATGAACACATTCACTTAGAATACAGAATGGTTTTGTATATACCTTCTTAGTTTTGGAGAAAACTTTCCAACTGATGAGAATCTTTAAATTTAAGTTTAGGGAAAAAACAGTAAATGAATGATTCTGTTAATTGTGATAGAAGGACTGTAACAAAGGAAGATGAATTTTGAGAAAGCTCCCCAATTCTTTTTTTCTTAAAATTGCATTAGAAAGTTAGCAGGGCTACGTTGGCAAGTGTGCTGCAGGAACCACTGTCTGAAAGAATTGTTTGAGAAGTTATAATTTCTCCTGCCACCTTTCCCTAACCTTCTGAAGAATTATAGAAATGTGTCCTGTTCCTTGGAAGCACTTTCTTTCCTTTTCTCCCATTTGAGTATTTGTAAGCTTCTAACCCAACTGGGTGCTCCTGCTTCCCCCTTTAACAAAAGGTATTCAAACCTAACTTAGCCTAAACATTTCTCATGGTGAAGATTTAAGTTGAATTGATTTCCTACCTTTTTATTTTTTTAATCCAAAATTATGCTTATGGCATCCAATTTAATTAAGGTAAGAGGTCACAGTATATTGATTTACACTCTATTCTAGTGTGTAATACACTTGTCTCATAATATAATATATGCACAAGGCTTCCACAAAGAAAAAAGAAAAATGTTTTCTCCACTTGTATCTATTTTATTTCATATTTTAATTTTTACCACTATTTTATACAGAGCAGAAAATAAGTCAGCAGTATAGTAGTTTAAAATAGGGCTTTTTTTTTTTTAACATAGCAGAAAATTAAGACAATTTCTGTTGAGAATATGACGAGTCATCTCATTTATTTGTCCAATGTATTGTGTATGACTAAATCCAGCTATATTTCACTGAGACATCACTAGAAGGAACTTTTCATTTAGTTTCAAAGAAACATGTTACCTTTTTTACTCTCTTTGTTCCTATGTGAAGCTTCATAGAGCAAATTGTAAATATAGGTTTCTGGGTTCCGTTATCAATTACATGATCAATATTTTAATGACAGGATGTTGATTCCTGGCTACATTGTCTTAACATTCACTGACACTACAAAAAGTTTAGCAAATTCTATCTGCAATCTCCAGATAGCTTTAGGGAATTAAATTCCTTAAAGTCAATTATTAAAAGATAACTTGGACTCCTCTAAAAGGAAGACTCATCTAATGCTTTCGTTGTTGTTGCTGTTGTTCAAAATATTACAGGTGTCTGATGCTTTTTGAATGATGTTACCCCCAAAGGTTCAAAATGCTTAAATACTGTCCAACTGCTCCAAAGTGAATAAACATGAGGTGATGAAAGCAGGTGGTTTTGTCTTTCTTTATGGTAATACGTCTGTGTTCACAGCTGATGTAAGTAAATGGGAACATTTCGGGCATTACTGAGCAACTCCTGTGCACTTGAGTGGCTCCTAGCACGTGTATCTATAGCACCACAAGCATATTACTCATCTTGGTCTGCTTTATGCATTTTTTAAATTTTTTCACTTTAAGCAACATGTTCATTTTGTCTTATGAATGGGATAATTTGATCCTTAAGCACCACATTTAATATTATGAAAATAAACAGCATTTCTTCCACATTATGAAGAAAGGGAATGTGTGGAGGCTCATCTGGCCAGCTAGTGTAGGCATTAATATTCTTTAATCATAAAGTCACTTTGACAACGTTTCTGTGCCAGCACAGGGAGCAGACAAAATTACAGTTGAATTCCCAGTCATGTATTGATGAAATTAGCTTGTTCAGACGTAAGAAAGAGCAGTTTAATGTATAAATGTTGAGGTTGGGAGGAGAACAGTCATGGGAAAGCCGATGAGATTTTGTTTTGTTTGTTGGTTTTTAGCACAACAAGTCTGGTCTCTTACAGACATGTCGAGAGTCTCAAGTAGTTTCTGATGTTGTGGAGGAGGCAGAGATGAGAAACAAGAACCCAAAACGTGCATTGTTCTGTAAGAAAGTTTTCTTAATAGCTCTCTCTGAGACATCAAACGCTACTTTGTTCAAAGTCCAATAAACGATATATTTCTGTTCCTTAGTAATGTTATTCATTTAGCTGTAGTGGTCTCAGTGATAACTATTCAAATTCACAGATAACAGCCAGCACAATCATGGAAAAGAGAAAGGACACCAATGCATATTTTACACATAAATTGAGAAAATATAATTTATTCTAATTTTCCAAGACACTTTTAAAAATATTTTAATATATAGTTTAACAGTATAGTCATCACCAGACAAAATTCTATGTGGACAATGAATCTACGGAAAACATACCGTAGATACAGCACTCTCAACTTCAGCTCTACAAAGCCATTTTGATAGTCCCATGCCAATCAAGGCACAACTGATTTGTCACCAGTCACAAAGTAAGTCTTAAGCAAACAATATGCAAAATAAATGCCACAGTTTCTTTATACTTGAAATAGGCACAATCTTTAAGCAGTAGAGTGAGGAGATATGTGTCTTTTTCTAGTGTTCTTAATGTTTTTGCATTCAGAGAAAAAAGTTTAGACGCAGTATTTCCAAAAGCAAGCTACAAAAGAAAACACATTCTTTCTTAGGAGGGTGTTTGATAAAACATCAGACGTGAATAAGATAGTTTTATGTGTGCCTGAGTATGAAAAAGGAATGTTCAATATGGTACTTATTAGCCTCATGTGGGTCTTTCAACTAATTAGAATTAAATAAAATTTGGAAATTCAGCTTCTCCATCACACTTGCCACATTTCAGGTGCTCACTAGTGACTCGTAGCTAGTGACTACCACCAGGGGCAATGCAAATGAAAGAATGGGCTTATTATCACGTGCAGTTCTATTGGACAGCGCTGTTATATTCTAATTGTGTAGTATGCATTTAATGCATGTAATACAGTTCAGAGAATACTATAGGTTGCCCTATTATATGCATCCCTCTATTTTATAGTGAGGGGTAACTGAAATCCCAAAGGGAAGTCACGTAAGTAAGCAGTGATATATGTGCTTCTAGTTACTAGGGAAAGAAGAAAGAAGAGAGTTAAGGTTCTCTTTCAAATGACCAAATAATATTTAAGTAACTTTTTAAAAAATTTTGCACTTTTTAAAATTAAATTTAGAGAAAGGAAGAGAGAAACATCGATGTGAGAGAGAAACATTGATCTGTTGCCTCCAGGAGATGTCCCAACCAGGGATGGAACCTGCAACCTGGGTACGTGCCCTGATCTGGAATCACACCCGCCCCCTTTTGGTTGATGGAACAACGCTCCAACCAACTGAGCCACACCGGCTAGGGCCATATTTAAGTAATGTGACTGTCACAGTGAGTCTTCACATTCCAATCATAAAATGATGTTTCAGAAAAATCAAACCAATTCTGTGTTTTAATCTTCAAATGCATTGAATAAGTCATTTTAAATCTTCTGTGGGTTGTTTCCAATCAGTTGCCTGACATAAGTAGCTTGATTTAACAAATTATAAGTTTTTAAAATTTCCTTCAATTTAAATGGTTTGTGAAATTAAGACCTCAGGGAGATGGGTCTTTGATTCACTATTGATTAATGGGATGTACAATAAAAGAGTTGAAAAAAAGCTCATAGTACAGTTAAGACACTGAAATAAACGATAAAATATCCGTCTCCCAGGGTCCCCTTCCTAACTCCACTCCCTCTGCAGACTGTCACCCTCGTGCTCACAACCATTACACTCACAGTGTTATGACAGCACTCAGAATCTACTTTTCATTCCTACAAGAGGTGCAGTTTCCTTTAAACAAAACCATATTTGAATTCTATAAAAGGAGAAGTTTATTTTTAACATTAAACTGAGGAGCTTGGCCTCTCTAATCTAATCTTTTTTATTGGGCGCTTTGGAAAGTTAGCACCGCCCTTTCTGTCCCTTTGAGTATCTTTCAATATTTCAGTCTAGCATAAAAATGTAGATCTACTCATCACATCCAAGACCTAGATGACATAAGCAGCTCAATTAAGCATGCAACAAAACAAGGTTTGGAAAAAATCTTAAACCTGGTTGAAGGGAGCTGTCATGAAGGGTGTCACCATTATTAGAGCCAGCTCCTCAGGGCCTACCTATCACTTTCACTCATGTGAAGAAAAGCCTGGCCAGCATTCTGGTGTCACTTCATGTCTGTCTGGTTCACTTCTATTCCCTGTTTTTAGCATAACACTAAGTGTTAGGTATATATATACATATATTTTTAATTCTCACCAGAGGATATTTTTTCCATTGATTTTTTTAGAGAGTGGAGGGGAGGGACAGAAAGAGAAAGAGGAAGAGAAAGAGAGAAACATTGATATGAGAGAGACACATCATTTTTT